CAATAAATCATATCTCTCATCATGACAGAGAAGAAAGCAGAAGTTGAACTCTTGTTGCATTCTTTCTAAACGGAACAAAGGTGCTGCGCGTCAACTACCTTAACCCTCTGTGTAGCCATCAGCTGCTTTAAGTTTAGGCTTAGCTGTTACATTATCTGTCTCATGCATTACTGTCAGGATATTTGGACAGTTTTAGGAAAAGAAACGGAAGAGAAAATCATTCATTTCAAACAGTTGAAAGCGGAAAGAAAATCGACATGGAAAGTACAATTACCAATAATTTTTTCTTAAGTACAGTACTGAACTAAATATACATTATACTTACTGTCCACCACTACTGATAATTATCACAAGTTTTGAATAAAATCAGAAAAAAGCGGAAGGAAAAGCTCCTGCACTGCTACTGTCGGAGCATAACAGTGTGACATCCAGCGGAAGTAAACAAACGCCAGAGTTAGCCGCGTGTGCTGGATTCGGATGTAGTTGTAGTTCCGCTAATTATTACTTTTGTAACTGAGCAGCAATGTCTTCAGTTGAGAGTTTGAGAGAGTTTGTCAACGAGCGACTAACTGCTGCTGCTGAAGAAATATTCGGAGTTTTAAAAAAAACGATCGTCGAGTACGAGGAAGAGATCGATCGTCAGCGCAGACTGCTGGATATCGTTTGGAAACCCGACATAAAGCTACACAGGACAGGTGTGTAAAGCTTCATTATTTTAGTAACAGAAAAAGGGATATATATATATATATATATATATAATCCAAAGTGTTTATTATATACTAGGGTGACCATATTTTGGTTTTCAAAAAAGAGGACAGTGCGGGCAGACGACACCCGCTGTGGTTGAAAGGTTGGAGCTAAAGAAGATTCAGGTAATTTGTGTGTAATGTTTTAGTATCGTATATTAGTGTATAACTGCAATATTATAACACTGAAAGTTTAATGTTGCTATAATACTATTATATTAATAGGTTAAACTTTATCTGCCGGTCTTCCTACAGGTTCTTCATTGTAGTCCTATTTCTAACATTTCAGCAGCTTATTAGTTGAGATTCAACTGAGTCACAAATGAAACCCTATTCTGTATTGTTAAGGTTTGATTAGGGATGATGTTTCAGTATAATTTAAAATAAGTGTCCTATATAGATTACCACTAGTATATTATTAATTGTAGTTACAGCAGTTTCATTATCGTATGTTGTTCTCATTCAATGAAAATACAGCAAGTATATGCTCTATGTAGTGGTTATACTCTAATTTGTTAATGCTGCTGAGTGCTAACTTGTCAATAATCAAACATTCACGTAAAATCAGTTCAACATTTCTAAAGTTTGCTGTAGCAAACCAGGCCCCAGCCAGGCTGTGGCTGGTTGGTCGGTTCAAGAAAAGTGCCATTAATGGGCAACTTTATGCACATGCTTGAATAAAAAACACACACAATCTTCTCCCTGCTCCTGGCAGAAAAAAGTACTGGCAGCTTTTGAGAAGTGCACAAAAAAAGTCCCTGTACACAAAGAGTAAAATGTACCGTTGAGTGCCGGGCCACTTCAAGCACTGCGTTTGGGTGTTTTTTACACTGTTGAAGCGCCATGTGCCACTGTTGAAAAGCAAACTGCTGCTCTGTCTCTGGCTGTTGCCATGGTGCTGAGGGTAATGACTGAGGTGGGACCTAACGAGAAAGATCAAAGCAACGCACACATTGATTGCCAAAAGATCCCAAAAAAGGGACACTCTAATATATACTGGTACTCATTTCCTCACGTGTCTGCATGTTTTTTTCTTTCCCATCCCAGTAGTAGCCTGTTCCTTCTGTTCTCTGTCCCTCCAGAGCTCCCACAGCAACATGTCTGGAAGGAGGAGGAGGTTCTGGCTGACCAGCAGCTCTGTATTCAGGAGAGGAACTCCAGTCTGGACCAAGAGGACCCAGAGCCTCCACAGATTAAAGAGGAACAGGAGGAACTCTGTACCAGTCAGGAGGGAGAGCAGCTTGTACTGAAGCAGGAGACTGATACCTTTATGTTGACTCCTACTTATGAGGAAAGAGACCACAGTGAAGCAGAACTGAAAAGTGACCACCAGCTCCTCTCTCACAAAAACTCTTTCAAATGTGACACATGTGTAAAAGACTTCAACTATGTGTCAATATTGCAGACACATATGAGAATTCACACAGATGAGAAGCCATATTCTTGCAGCAGCTGTGGAAAAAGATTGAGTAACACATCAGATTTGAATGCTCATATAAGAACCCGCACAGCTGAGAAACCATTTTCTTGTAAAACATGTGGGAAAGATTTCAGAACTAGCAGTCACTTGAAAGTCCACATGAGAACCCACACAGCTGAGAAACCATTTTCTTGTAAAACATGTGGGAAATCTTTCAGACGGTTGGCTCACTTGAACGACCACATAAGAATCCACACAGGTGAGAGGCCTTATTCCTGCAAAACATGTGGAAAGAATTTCATAGAGAGTACTAAGTTGAAAATTCACATAAGAAGAGCTCACACTGGTGAGAAGCCATACCTTTGCAAGACCTGCGGGAAAGGATTTGTTGTCACTTCAGCATTGAAAGCACACATAAGAATCCACACAGGTGAGAAACCGTATCCTTGCAAAACATGTGGTAAAGATTTTCGAACAAGCTACTGCTTGAAAGTCCACATGAGAACCCACACAGGGGAGAAACTGTATTCTTGTACAACATGTGGGAAAGATCTTAAAACTAGCTATGGCTTGAAACTCCACATGAGAGCCCACACAGGTGAGAAGCCATTCTGTTGCAAAACATGTGGGAACAGATTCCATAACATTTCAGCATTGACATCACACGTAAGAATTCACACAGGAGAGAAGCCGTTTAACTGTGAAACATGTGGAATGGATTTCAGAACTAGTGGTCACTTAAAAGTCCACATAAAAACCCACACTGGTGTTAAGCCATAGCTTTGCATAATCTGCAGTAAAAAGATAAGCTTTTGTGTCTAATTTGAAATGGCACCGCATACAGGCAAGTAACTTAAATCATACATGAAAAAAAAAAACACACGAGGATCAATAGACAGGAGGAGAAAGCATCCAGCTGAAACTCCTGTGGAGACGTGTTCACCTGTGAATGAAATATACTTTTGCAATAGCTACATCTCTCAACTGAATGTAAAATAATTTCCAAAAAATGAGACATCAGTTTCTTAGTGTAAAGTTTCCCTTCATGTGACTGTATTACTTATTGTAAAGGAATTTCTCCTTCAGTAAGGCTAATATCAAACAGGTTTCCCCAGGTCATATAAGGGTTATTTGCTGAACTACAGCAAACCGAAGGTGACATCCTGTGACTCTCTAAAACAGGTCAGATTCTGTCTCCTCTCTGTCTGTTCAGTTGACTGTCTGACGCTGCTGCCTTGATCAGGATGAACTCTGTGATCCATTCTCTTGGTGACCCAAGGTCCAGGGCCCGGTTGTTCAAAAAGTGTAATCTGGACAGGCACGTCCACACATAGACATCAAAAGGGGCTTCAGCACCTGCCCTTTTTTTCTGGGATGCTTGTGTTTTTTTTTTGTTTTTTTTCAATAAATAAATACCGTATAATATAGTATATTTATTCCTGTTTGCAACAGATTCCCTGTCAAACATATTTATTGGGGGGAAAAAAATCTAAATGGGCTACCCCCCCCCCCCCCCCCCAACTATAGACATATTGACAAATAGTGCAGTAATCAGAGTGCAAAGGATGCTAGAGTAAACTATTTTCATTATGTACATGTTGAACGTGGATATGATATACAGGTACACATACATGCATACATGTACACAGTGTGATGGAACATCAAAGGATGCTGGAAAAAATAAACAAGACCTATGACCTTATGACCTGAGGTAGGTGTATTAGTATACAGTATGTACAATATGACGTAGTATGAACAGCACTGAAACAGAGAATGGTGAATAATTAAATAAGTGAAAACCAGTAAACAGGTGGCTGATTAGAGACAGAGTTACTGGGTTATTGCACAGGAATTGTTCCTGACACTGTGTGTCAGAAATCAGCTGTTCATCAGAGTGATGGCTTGTGGGAAGAAACTGTTCCTGAATCTGTTGGTTTTGGCGTACAGTGCTCTGTAGCGCCTACCAGAGGGGAGAAGCTGGAACAGATTGTGTCCGAGGTGAGATGGATCTGCAGTGATGTTTCCTGACTCTGGAAATGTATAAGTCCTGAATGGAGGGCAGGTTGGCACCAATGATTTTTTCTGCAGTCCTGACTGTCTGTTGTAGTCTGCTCCTGTCCTTTTTGCTGGTAGATCCAAACCAGACAGCGATGGAGGTGCAGAGGACAGACTGGATGATGGCTGTGTAGAAGTGGATCAGCAGCTCCTTAGGCAGGTTGAGCTTCCTGAGCTGACGCAGGAAGTACATCCTCTGCTGGGCCATCTTGATGATGGTGTCAGTGTTGGGCTCCCACGTCAGGTCCTGGGATATAGTGGAACCCAGTTTTGAGCGTGTTAAGATCCAGGTTGTTCTGGCAGCACCAGAGAGCCAGCTGATCAACCTCCCGTCTGTAGGCCGACTCATCACCATCCCGGATGAGGCCGATGACCGTTGTGTCATCAGAAAACTTCAGGAGTTTGACAGATGGGTCTCCTGAGGTGCAGTCGTTGGTGTAGAGGGAGAAGAGCAGTGGGGAGAGCACACACCCCTGGGGGGCGCCAGTGCTGATAGTCCGGGTGCTGGATGTGATGTTTCCCAGCCTCACCTGCTGACTCCTGTCAGTCAGGAAGTCTGTGATCCACTGACAGGTGGAGGCTGGCACAGTGAGTTTGGTGCTGAGGATGTCCGGGATGATGGTGTTGAACGCTGAGCTGAAGTCCACGAACAGGATCCTTGCATATGTCCCTGGAGAGTCGAGGTGTTGCAGGATGTGATGCAGACCCAAGTTGACAGCATCATCCACTGACCTGTTAGCCCTGTAGGCAAACTGCAGGGGGTCCAGCAGGGGGGTTGTATTGTCCTTCAGGTGGGCCAACACCAGTCTTTCAAAGGACTTCATGACTACAGATGTCAGGGCGACGGGCCTGTAGTCATTCAGTCCAGAGATGGAGGGCTTTTGGGGACCGGGATGACTGTGGAGCGTTTGAAGCAGGAGGGAACTTCACTCAGCTCCAGTGATTTGTTGAAGATCTGAGTGAAGATGGGGGCCAGCTGGTCCGCACAGATTTTCAGGCACGATGGTGAGACACCGTCAGGTCCAGGAGCCTTCCTGATCTTGAAGAGGTGGCTCACGTCCTCTTCACAGATCTTGAGTGCAGGTGAGAGCTCAGAGGGGGAAGGTGACTGTTTGAAGATGGCGTTGGAGTGGGGGAGAGGTGTGACTCTGGGCTTTTCAAACCTACAGTAGAAACCATTCAGCTCGTCTGCCAGTCGTTGAGTACCAACAGTGTTGGGGGATGGTCTCTTGTAGTTTGTGAGTGTCCGTAGGCTTCTCCACAATGACGCATGGTCGTTGGCTGCAAAGCTGTTATTTAGCTTTTGAACAGGGGGTTTTTGGTTGGCTGATGTAAGATGTCACAGTGTCGGTTAGTTCGTCCAGGTCAGTGGCTGCAGCCTCAAAAACACTCCAGTCAGTGCAGTCAAAGCAGGCCTGTAACTCCAGCTTTGACTTGTTGGTCCATCTTTTCACAGTCTTTACAACAGGTTTAGCAGATTTCAGTTTTTGCCTGTGTGTCGGAATAAGATGAATCAAACAGTGATCAGAGAGTCCCAAGGCTGCACGGGGAACAGATCGATAGGCGTCCTTTAATGTTGTGTAGCAGTGGTCCAGTGTGTTAGTGTCCCTGGTGGGACACTTAATATGCTGTCTTTATTTTGGGATTTCATGACTGAGGTTTGCTTTGTTAAAGTCCCCAAGAACTATGAGCAGGGCGTCTGGATGTTTTTCCTCCACGTTAGTTATCTGGTCGGCCAGGTGTAGTAACGCCTCACTAACACAGGCCTGAGGTGGAATGTAAACAGCGACCAGAACAAACGAGGAAAACTCCCACAGTGAATAAAACGGTTTGTAGTTTATAAATAATGTCTAAGTGAGGCCTGCATGATTGATGAACACTGACATCTGTGCACCAACCTTCGTTTATATAGTAACAGAGTCCGCCTCCCCGTGTTTTTCCTGTGAGCTCCCTTTCGCACTCCGCGCGGATGAGATTAAATCCCGGTAGGTGAAGTGCGCTGTCCGGGATACACTCGGTGAACCAGGATTCGGTAAAACAGAGGGCGGCAGATCTGCAGAAGTCTGAGTTAGTTCTGTTGAGGAGCAGTTCGTCCATTTTGTTGGCCAGAGAGCAGACATTCGGCAGGTGAATTGAAGGGAGGGCAACCAATCAAAAGTTTGTAACGATTGCATCCCTCATTGCAGGTCCCTCATTCTGAGATCGCCTCCAAAAAGCTAAAAGCTGCTCTATGAACTCTAAACAATCTTTATTTTAACTCTTGGACATTGAGACTTTTTAGGATTTACAACATATGTTCAAAATATCCACAGTGTATCTGTGAATAATGTTTATTTGTTTGATATTCTTGAATTAGGTGTGGGTCAGATGATGATGATGATGAAGATGTCTCTTTAAATAAAAGTGACCCCAGGCTGTCTGTTCTACCTCTTGGTCTTTATATCATTAACAGACTACAATGTGATATGTTTAGTCCCATTTAGAGCACTGGTAATCCGGATTTGGTAATCTTGAAAAGTTTGTATCTGGATCAGGGTGATCCACTCCAATATTGCTTTGAAAACCGGCACAAAAGCAAGATGGATTACGTGAGACTGGATAGCAAAATATGGGATTTCCAAATCCGGATCATTCTGATCGTGATTACATTTTTTGAACAACTGGGCCCCAGAGGATCTTTATTTTGTTTCTTTCTTTAAAGTGTTGCATGTTACTTGAATGATACATAGCATAACTTAGGTCAGCTACCTTCTCGGTTTGTTTTTCTGTGTTCTTTTTATTTGACTGCTGTTTATACTTATTTTTGTGTTTTGTGTATACCCATATTGTTCCACTATGTGTAGTTATTTGTTTTTGATAAGTAATAATGCAAATTTTTATTTTTTTAAATGGGGAAAGACTCTGAATAAGCCTTTCACGCTTTATTTCTGTCCTGCGCAATGATTACTGTTATATTCTTTTATATGTATCTGTGTCTGTTTTCATTATTGTGCAAATAAACTAAACTGAACAGACAGATTTTACATTCGAGGGTTACTGTCATCACTGTTTTATATTACCATATAAGAAGTCCAATTAAAAATGTACGGTCTGAAACATATTCTGTATTTAATTATTCTAATTAAGTTTTTATAAATTTATTTATAACTTAATTTCCCCCCTTAATTTAAAGCCCTTCTTTATTAGTGACCCACTTATTTCGCAGACAACATATAAGGATAGGCACATGTTTTAGCCACCATGTTGCATTTGAAAAACAAAATAGACAATTGAGAAGGCTGCTTTTATTCTAAGAGCAATATGTGCTGTAAATGTAGGTGTTCTGTTCTGAATATGTTTTGTTGTGCTTTTCTGACTGTATGCTGGATGATTTGCAATAAATATAGGTTAGTGTCAAAAGTCAAAGGCTGAGTGAGAAATGAGAAAATAAAATCAAACCTTGTAACTTCTTATCCAAATGGAAGGTTATTGTGGTTAGAAGTGGGTTCCGCATAGCCGGACTAAATCAGGTCTATAGTTTACCTAGACGGTGAAATGATGGCTATAGCTTGCTGCGTATTTCCACCATTACTGTCAAACAAAAGTGTAAAATGCCATCAGCTGAAAGCGGAACGAAAGGCTCCCTTACTTCTACTGTCGGAACTTAACAGTGTGACATCCAGCGGAAGTAAACAAACCAAGCGCCAGTTTTAACCACATGTGTAGAATACACTGGAAGGCTTTATTGCAGTCGTGGCGCCGCTACTTATTTCATAGGTAATTAAGCAACAATGTCTTCAGCTGAGTGTTTGAGAGAGTTTGTCAACGAGCGACTAACTGCTGCTGCTGAAGAAATATTCCGAGTTTTTATAAAAACTATCGTCGAGTACGAGGAAGAGATCGATCGTCAGCGCAGACTGCTGGATATCGTTTGGAAACCCGAAATAAAGTTACACAGGACAGGTGAGATTATTATTATAGTAACAAAACAGAGAATCATATTTATATAATATCCAAAGTGTTTAAATATATACGAGGGACACCGTATTTTGGTTTTCAAAAAAGAGGACAGTGCGGACAGACACCCGCAGTGGGTGGAAGGTTGGGGCTGAAGAGGATTCAAGTCCTTATAGGCAGAGGCTCCTTTGGAGGAGTAACTACTATAAATTAGTGTTTTACTAATATGCAATATTAAAACACTAAAAATGTTAAATGTTGGTATAGTATTAATATATTAAATGTTAAACTTTATTTGGCTGTCTTCCTACAGGTTGTTTATTGTAGTCCTATTTCTAATATTTCAGCAGTGTATTAGTTGAGATTCAGCTGAGTCACAAATAAAAGGGCATTCTGTCTTTAGGGTTTGATTAAAGCTAATGGTTCATTTTAATTTCAGATAATAGTGTTCTATGTAGCTTACCACTGGTATAATATTAATTATAGTTACAGCAGTTTCATTATCGTATGTTGTTCTCATTATCATTGATTCAATTTAAAAATTTTTTTACACTGTTGAGGCGCCATGTGCTACTGTTGAAGAGCAAGCTGCTGCTCTGTCTCTGGCTGTTGCCATGGTGCTGAGGGTAATGACTGAGGTGGAGTTTAGACCAATGGTGGCGTGCCAGAAGACTGAACCTAAAGAGAAAGCTCAAAGCAACACACAGAATGATTGCCAAAAGGTCCCAAAAACACACTAATACATACTGGTGCTCCTGTGTGTCTGCATCCTTTTCTTTCCCATCCCAGTAGTAGCCTGTTCCTTCTGTTGTCTGTCCCTCCAGAGCTCCCACAGCAACATGTCTGGAAGGAGGAGGAGGTTCTGGCTGACCAGCAGCTCTGTATTCAGGAGAGGAACTCCAGTCTGGACCAAGAGGACCCAGAGCCTCCACAGATTAAAGAGGAACAGGAGGAACTCTGCACCAGTCAGGAGGGAGAGCAGCTTGTACTGAAGCAGGAGACTGATACCTTTATGTTGACTCCTACTTATGAGGAAAGAGACCACAGTGAAGCAGAACTGAAAAGTGACCACCAGCTCCTCTCTCACAGCTGTCATGTAGCTGAGAGCCAAGATCAGAAAGGAGGTGAGCATGAAGACGCAGGATCAACTAGAGATGCAGAGCCAGAACAAAAGAATCAAGATCACAAAAGCAGAAGCCACAGAAACAATGTAAACAACTCTACCATGTCAGAGGTTCACCATAATCCTCACACAGGTGAAAACTCTTTCAAATGTGACACATGTGGTAAATACTTTAAATATAAGTCAGGATTGCAGACACACCTGAGAATCCACACAGGTGAGAAGCCATATTCTTGCAGCAGCTGTGGGAAAAGATTCAGATACACATCAGATTTGAAGACTCATATTAGAATCCACACGGGTGAGAAACCATTTTCTTGCAAAACATGTGGGAAAGATTTCAGTCGGATGACTCACTTGAAAGACCACATGAGAACCCACACAGATGAGAGGCCATTCTCTTGTAAAACATGTGGGAAAGATTTCAGTCAGATGACTAACTTGAAAGTCCACATGAGAATCCACACAGGTGAGAAACCATATTCTTGTAAAAAATGTGGGAAAGATTTCAGTCGGATGACTCACTTGAAAGTCCACATGAGAATCCACACAGATGAGAAGCCTTATTCTTGCAAAACATGTGGAAAAGATTTCAGTCAGATGACTCACTTGAAAGCACACATGAAAATCCACACAGATGAGAAGCCATTTTCTTGTAATACATGTGGGAAAGATTTCAGACGGAGGGGTCACTTGAAAGCACACATGAAAATCCACATAGATGAGAGGCCATTTTCTTGTGAAACATGTGGGAAAGATTTCAGTCAGATGACTCAATTGAAAGCACACATGAAAATCCACACAGATGAGAAGCCATTTTCTTGTAATACATGTGGGAAAGATTTCAGACTGAGGGGTCACTTGAAAGACCACATAAGAATCCACACAGGTGAGAGGCCATATTCCTGCAAAACATGTGGAAAAAATTTCATAAGGAATGCTAAGTTGGAAATTCACATAAAAAGAGCTCACACCGGAGAAAGGCCGCATCTTTGCAAGATTTGTGGGAAAGGATTTGTTATCCTATCAGAATTGAAAGCACACATGAAAATCCACACAGATGAGAGGCCATTTTCTTGTAATACATGTGGGAAAGATTTCAGTCAGATGACTCAATTGAAAGACCACATAAGAATCCACACAGGTGAGATACCATAGTCTTGAAAGACCTGTGGGAACAGATTTTACAACATTTCAGCATTGACAACACACGTAAGAATTCACACAGGTGAGAGTCCGGATAACTGTGAAACATGTGGAATAGATTTCAGAACTAGTGGTCACTTAAAAGTCCACATAAAAAGCCACACTGGTAAGAAGCCGTAGCTTTGCAGGATCTGCAGTAAAAAGATAAACTTTTGCGTATAATGTGTCACGGCACAGAAGCTCGCATACAGGGAAGTAGAGGAGAAACGGTATGAACATTTCTTAACACGATTATAGTGACCAAAGTTATCAGTATTATCAATATGCTTAAAATGATCAAAAAGTACTGATAAACACTGAAACCAAGTTTTATATTGACGACCACAAATAAAATTAACCTTTTATTCCTTTTGCTTCAGCATAAAAATAGCAAACAGCCTTTGGTTGATGCTGAACAGTATTTACCGTAAGTTTGTCAAAACGTGTTAATCAAACACGGTTATCATAATAATGAAAATTTGTACAGTAATACTAACCATTGGGAATTTTATCATGGTCCATCCATAAACTGGTAACCGTTTCATCCCTTCAGGCAAGTAACTCAAATCACAAATTTGAGAAAACACCCAAGGATCAATAGACAGGGGAGGGACCATCTCCTGTAGAGATGTGTACACTTGTGAATGAAATGTATTTTTGCTATAGCTATATCTTTCAACTGAATGTAAAATGTGTTTCTTGAAATGAGATGTCCATGTGTTAGTGTAAAGTTTCCCTTCCTGTGACTGTATTACTTATTGTGAGGGAATTTCTCTTTCATTAAGGCAAATATCACACAGGTTTTCCTAGGTCATGTCGAGGTCATTTGCTGAGCTACAGGAAACCGAAGGTGGCATCCTGTGAGTCTAAAACAGTAGGTCAGACTCTGTCTCTCCTCTCTGTCTGTTTGGTTGACTGTCTGACGCAGCTGCCTTGATCAGGATCAACTCTGATTCTTACGGTAACCCAAGGTCCAGATGATCTTTATTTTGTTTCCCCTTACAGACAGACTGACTGGCTGTCTCTAGAAAGTGTTGCATGTGTCTTGAATGACACGTGACTCAGGTCAACTAACTTCTACTTTTGTTTTTCTGTGTTCTTTTTATTTCACTGCTGCTCATTTGTTTAAATGGTGAAGGAATCTGAATAGGCCTTTTAGTCTTCTTTACTCTCCTGCACTGTAATTACTGGGTTTTTTTTCTATTATGCATTTCTGTTCATAATTGTGCAAATAAACTAAACTGAACGGCATATAGATATATATGTATTGTGTTTTTTATCCTTAACCTTTCCTCTCCTATACTCCTTATATTAGTCCGTCCACATTTACTAGGGTTTAGGTCAGAGCTGTGAGATTGTTTTGGTGTTTTCCTCTCTTGTTGTTCCTCTCCTCTCCTCTCCTGGAATGTTCAATCAAGGCTGAGAGAGGATCTCTGTTCCCCAAAACATAGAAACCTAGACTGTGTAAATGATGATGCATCCCTTTGCTCGGGGCCAGACGCCCGAAGCTGCCCTAGGAAGCAGGTCTCTGGACCAGCTGTATATGTATTTTAGTACTTCTGTTTTGTTAATAAATTCTTCAAAGACAACGGTTAGTTGTTACTCAATTTTTTGCTCAATCCTTCACCAGGAATATAACATCACGACAGGAGGTAAGATATCAATTTTTCTCTGACCGATTAATAGATTTGAAAAACGCACTTAGTCACTGGCTAACCAGAGACCTCACTCACTTCTGTAGAGTCATGCTATCTAAAACAGTAGGTATTTCCAAAGTAATGTATACGTGTCACTCCCTGTGCGTCTATTCTAATAATGCTTAGAAAAAACAGCTCAATTATTTTCCAGTTCCTTTGGAAAAATAAAACTCATCATATTCGGTAGTCAGAGCTAGTCAAAGAGTTTGAAAGGGTGCATCAAAGCTTTGGACTTTGAATCAATGTTTGGGACCCTTAAAAGACTCTATGTGGTTTCACATGCCCAAATCCTTAAATAAGAAAATACGTGGGCTTAATTTTTAGTTACAATGTGATTTTAAATTGACCAATATTCCTATTAAATTATCAAACTTCCACAACCTCTTCAGGACTGTAAAATTATATTTACCCACAACTTTTCTCCCCACGGATCCAACCTGTGAAATAACAGGGTCATTACAATCAATAGGAAATCATTGTCTAAGAATGATTGGTATGAGAAGGGCATTGTGTTTGTGAGTTATACTGTATATCAGATGATAGTGGTAACTTCTTGGAACATATTGATTTCCACAACCATTATTATAGCTATATAGTGTTTTTGATTATAATTGAGGATTGTGTGTACATGTTCCAAATATGAATACCTTGTCCATATATAAATCACATTTCAAATTCATCAGATGGCCCATCTCCCCTAAAATCAAAGAAACTCACTTCAAAATAATTTATAAAATATCCAGTTGCAGACTTTCTTAGGAAAAAGTTTAACTTTGAAGTAGATTTGTGTGTATTTTGTGAGGCAGCTGAGGATATTTTGGAACAAATGTTCTATTTTTGTGTCCTATGTTCTATTTTTGTGTCCTATGTCCAAAAACTTGTAGTCTAATCTACATAATTGGCTGTCACTTAAGATTGAGCCAATCCCACTTGACATCAGGCAAAAGGCAGGGGAGACCCTGGACAGGTTGCCAGTCCATCGCAGGTCCACACATAGACAAACAACCACTCACACCTAAGGACAATTTAGGCTGACAAATTAACCTAGCCTGCATGTCTTTGGATGGTGGGAGGAAGACGGAGCACCTGGAGAGAACCCACAGGGAGAACATGCAAACTCCACACAGAAAGGCCTGGGAGGACCATGGTTTGAACCCAGCACCTTAATGCGGTTGAGGCAGTAGTGCTAACCACTGCACCACCGATTTTTTTTCTGTTCTTGTATTTTTTTGTTGTTCGGCGTATGTAGGACTCTTTCTTTTATTTTCACAGACAGTGATTGTATTGTAGTCTACCTATTTATAAATGATTTTTTCTTCCCTTACAAGAATTGTGTATCTGTATTTTAAAGAAAATCCGCAAGTAACGTACAAATAACTCTAATTTGTACATAAGTAAATATACTTAGTTACTGTCCACCGCTTCTGAATAAACCCAAGCTTTGAATAAAATGGCATCAGTTGAGAGCGGAACGAAAAGCTCCGGCACATCCACTGTCGGAACTTAAAGAGTGTGACATTCAGCGGAAGTAAACAAACCAAGCGGCAGCGTTAGCCGTGTGTAGAATTCACTGGAAGGCTTTACTGCAGTTGTAGCGCCGCTAATTATTTCATTTGTGATTAATTAACAATGTCTTCAGTTGAGTGTTTGAGAGAGTTTGTCAGCGAGCGACTAACTGCTGCTGCTGAAGAAATATTCCGAGTTTTTATAAAAACTATCGTCGAGTACGAAGAAGAGATCGATCGTCAGCGCAGACTGCTGGATATCGTTTGGAAACCCGAAGTAAAGTTACACAGGATAGGTGAGGAAAGCCTCATTATTTTAATAACACAACAGAAAAAGATATTTAAAATAAAAATATATAACGTTTAAACTCATTTCCTCATGTGTCTGCATCCTTTTCTTTCCCATCCCAGTAGTAGCCTGTTCCTTCTGTTGTCTGTCCCTCCAGAGCTCCCACAGCAACATGTCTGGAAGGAGGAGGAGGTTCTGGCTGACCAGCAGCTCTGTATTCAGGAGAGGAACTCCAGTCTGGACCAAGAGGACCCAGAGCCTCCACAGATTAAAGAGGAACAGGAGGAACTCTGTACCAGTCAGGAGGGAGAGCAGCTTGTACTGAAGCAGGAGACTGATACCTTTATGTTGACTCCTACTTATGAGGAAAGAGACCACAGTGAAGCAGAACTGAAAAGTGACCACCAGCTCCTCTCTCACAGCTGTCATGTAGCTGAGAGCCAAGATCAGAAAGGAGGCGAGCATGAAGACGCAGGATCAACTAGAGATGCAGAGCCAGAACAAAAGAATCAAGATCACAAAAGCAGAAGCCACAGAAACAATGTAAACAACTCTACCATGTCAGAGGGTCACCATAATCCTCACACAGGTGAAAACTCTTTAAAATGTGACACATGTGGAAAATACTTTAAGTATAAGTCACTATTGCAGACACACCTGAGAATTCACACACTTGTGAAGCCATATTCTTGCAGCAGCTGTGGGAAAAGATACAGAAACAAATCAGATTTGAACATTCATATAAGAATCCACACAGGTGAGAAACCATATTCTTGCAAAACATGTGGAAAAGACTTTAGAACCAACAGTGTCTTGAATATCCACATGAGAACCCACACAGATGAGAAGCCATTTTCTTGTAAAACATGTGGGAAAGATTTCAGTCAGAAGGTACATTTGGAAAGCCACATGAGAATCCATACAGGTGAGAGGCCATATCCTTGCACAACATGTGGGAAAGATTTCAGAACTGTCAGTTACTTGAAAGACCACATAAGAATCCACACAGGTGAGAGGCCATATCCTTGCACAACATGTGGAAAACGCTTCAGAACTAGCAGTCACTTGAAAGACCACATAAGAATCCACACAGGTGAGAAGCCATTTTCCTGCAAAATATGTGGAAAAGATTTTATAGGGAATGCTAAGTTAAAAAATCACATAAGAGCTCACACTGGCGAGAAGCCGTATCTTTGCAAGACCTGCGGTAAAAGATTTGTTGTCGCTTCAGCATTGAAAGCACACATGAAAATCCACAGAGTTGAGAAACAATAATCTTGCACAACATGTGGGAAAGATTTGAAAACTAGCTGTTGCTTGAAAGTCCATATGATAATCCACACAGCACAAGCTGTGCTACCTGCGGGAAAAAATTCTGTGACCCTTCAGCATTGACAACACACTTAAGAATTCACACAGGTGAGAGGCCGTATAACTTTGAACCATGTGGAAAAGGTAGAACTAGCGGTCACTTAAAAGTCCACTTAAAAACCCACACTGGTGAGAAGCACTAGCTTTGCATGATCTGCTGGAAAATAAATGCTTTTTGGAATTTGAAATGGCATAGTAGATCACATACAGGCAAGTAACTGAAATCACACGCTGGAAAAAATGCCTGAGGAACAATATACAGAGGACAAAACAACCAGCTGAAACTCCTGTGGACACGTGCACCTGTGAATGAAATACATATTTTTGCAATAACTGCATCTCTCAACTGATGTGAAATGTAAATTTCTTAGTGTAAAGTTTCCCTTCATGTGACTGTATTACTTATTGTGAAGGAATTTCTCCTTCATTAAGGCTAATATCACACAGGTTTCCCCAGGTCATGTAAGGGTCATTTGCTGAGCTATAGTAAGCCAAAGGTGACATCCTGTGACTCTCTAAAACAGGTCAAACTCTGTCTCTCCTCTCTGTCTGTTCGTTCTACTGTCTGACGCAGCTGTCGATCAGGATCAACTCTGATTCTGTCTCTAGAAAGTGTTGCATGTTACATGAATGACACGACATGACTCGGGTCATCTAACTTCTGTGTTCTTTTTATTTCACTGCTGCTCATTTGTTTAAATGGGGAAGGACTCTGAATAGGCCTTTTAGCCTTCTTTACTCTCCTGCACTGTAATTAGTTTTTTTCTATTATATGCATTTCTGTTTTCTTTACTGTACAAATAAACTAAACTGAACAGTCTGATTTTACATTTGAGGCTTACCGACATCACTGTTTTACACAACCATATAAGAAGTCCAATTAAATATTTACTGTGTTAAACATATACTGTATGTGATACCTAAGATAAAAAAAACTATGAGCTCATAACAAATATGCATTATTAAACTATCCTACAGGAAATAAAATAGGCAAAACTGAACTGAATGTTGAGTGCATTTATTGAAATAATACGTTTTGGACTATATATTTTATTGGATTGGATCATCTGGACCTTTGCCAACATAACAAGGCAGTTTTTGTCAGAATGTAATCCACTTGTGGAACAAATATTCTATTTATGTCCTATGTCCAAAAACTTATAGCCTAATCCAAATATGTGGCTGTCACTTGATATCCTGAGGTCTGACTTATCACATATCCTGTTTATACGGACACTGTAGATCCATCTCTATCTGATTTGATGAATATGATTGTTCTCACGGGTAAATATCACATATATTGTAGTAAGTCGAGATATTCTAAGCCTCCCTTTTCGTGGTTCATTAACGATTAAAAAATCCTTACTGAAAAAAGTAAAGTTTAGAAACATTGCTAGAATGATGTGTAAGCATAGGTGTCATTACAGTGGGGACATGTCTCCATTACTTTTTGAAATAGCTGATGTTGTCCCAACCACTTTTTAAAAGCATTTGTTAAAAATGTTCTGAAAAATAGCTTGCAACAAGAAATGTACTGTAAGTGCTATGAGATCACATTATATTTTTATATTCTGAATTGTCACCTGCCACCTGCATTTTGTGTTCCCCTTCATATACTGTAAATAAAGACAATTCTACCATAAATTGATGCAGAAAATGTCTCCATAATGCAGGAAATTAATTGTTTAGTGCTCAAAATCTTCTGGGTGAGGATCCCCTTAAATGTCCCCACCACTTTTCAACACAAAGTGATTCCCTTGTGTGTATGCTGGAAATATATCGATGTATATAGGTTTTCAGCAACTGTTTCCAATTGTAATCCAATCCGATTTTGACCAACACCCTCCCTGTAGGCCTATTCTGTGCCTAAATGAGGCTTTCTTTTCTTTTCTCCAGACCTTTAGTAGGCTGTTTCCATCCATCCATTGTCAACTACTTGTCCTGTGTACAGGGTCGGATGATGGCATTAGGCGAAAGGCAGGGGACACACTGGACAGGTTGCCAGTCCATTGCGGGGCCACACATCAATAACCACAATCACAATCACACCTAAGGACAATTTAGAGTCACCAATCAGCCCAGCCTGCATGTCTTTGGATGGTGGAGGAAGCCAGAGCACCCGGACAGAACCCACGCAGGGTGAACATGCAAACACCACACAGAAAGGCCAGGTGGACCATGGCTTGAACCCAAGGCCGTATTGCTGTGAGGTAACACTGCTAAACACTACACCACCGATTTTGTCTGTTTATTGTTTTATGTTTGTTTTTTAATTGTTCGGTGTATGTAGGACTTTCATTTGCACAGACAGTGATTGTATTGTAGTCTACCTATTCATACATATATATATATATTTTCTTCCCCTACAAGAGTTTTGTTATTATGTTATTTTAAGCAAAAAAAGCTGAACGAAAATCCTCAAGTAACTACAAAAACTCTATTTTGTAGTTCAGTACAGTACTTGAATATATGTATTTTCTTACTGTCTACCACTGCTGAATAAACCCAAGCTTTGACTCTGCCATCAGTTGAGAGCGGAACGAAAAGCTCCGGCACTTCTTCTGTCGGAACTTGTACATTGTGACATCCAGCGGAAGTAAACAAACCAAGCGGCAGCGTTAGCCGTGTGTAGAATTCACTGGAAGGCTTTACTGCAGTTGTAGCGTCGCTAATTATTTAATTTGTGATTAATTAACAATGTCTTCAGTTGAGTGTTTGAGAGAGTTTGTCAACGAGCGACTAACTGCTGCTGCTGAAGAAATATTCCGAGTTTTTATAAAAACTATCGTCGAGTACGAGGAAGAGATCGATCGTCAGCGCAGACTGCTGGATATCGTTTGGAAACCCGAAGTAAAGTTACACAGGATAGGTGTGTAAAAATCCTTTTCGTCGCGTGTCTGTTTCCTCGTTCCTTTTCTGATTCTCTCCTGATCCATGTTGTCTGACAGTTGTTGCATTCTAGAGAACAGAACTAGAAGAGTGGAGGGGGACACTTAACCCTAACCCTGAAGTGGGAGGGTTTAGGGTAACGTTACTCCCCCAGAGTTCGGTAAAGTTGGAAATATATTCACAGATTCGAACTTCCGGGATGAATAACTTTGAGGAAAGCAAGGAAGACACCTTATATGCTTTAAATGCTGAAGAGATTCTTGTTCAAATTAATCAAAATAAAGCCAAAATCTGTAATCGTGAAAATGGAGTGACTAAACTTAATCTTTCAAAACATTAAAACCATTAAAAGAAACATTTCGCCAAACTAACTGTTGTTGCATAAACACCAGAATGCCATTGACGTGTGAGATGATTTTAGAAACACTATATAACAGTGTAGTAATTGAAGATTAAAGTTCCCCCAAATTTGTAAAGGCTGTTTTTTCTCTTAAGTGTTGTAGTATCACCTTAAGGAGATCACTGATGTGTGATGTGATTTTGGAGACACTCTATATAACAGTGAACTTATTGAATATTAAAATTCCCTCAAATTGTGGAAATGCAGTTATTCCGTATATATGTGTTGTAGCATAACTAGAATGAGACCATGGATGCGTGGGATGATATTGGGAGAGACTACAGCTTTTAACAGTTAAGCTATCGAAGATTAAAATTTCCCCGAACTATGCAAAACTTATTTCCATATAACCGACAGGCGACCTCTTGTGGTTATACTTTAATTGAGCACTGTTAGCGCTGTCGCCTCACAGCAACACAGTCGTGGGTTCAAACCCCGGTCGCCCCGGCCTTTCTGTGTGGAGTTTGCATGTTCTCCCCGTATCTGGGTGCTCCGGCTTCCTCCCACCATCCAAAGACATGCAGGCTAAGTTAATTGGTGATCCTAAATTGTGCTTAGGTTCCAGCGTGACCATGTACGCAGGATGGGTGGATATTTCTGCAAACTAAGTGTTGTAGTATCACAAGCAGGAGATTGCTGGTGCCTGTGTTGATTTTTGAGACACTATAATAATAATAATAATAATCCTTATATGTAGAGCACTTTTCAAAAACAAGTTACAAAGTGCTTTAACAAGTGTAAAGAATAATACAAAAAAAAAAACAAGATAAGAGCATGAAAAATTAATATATAATTAGTAAAATACAATAAAATAAAAGGGATAAAATAAAGTCAAATAAGATCGGGAAAGGCTCTCCTATAAAAGTATGTTTTAAGAAGGGACTTAAAAGAGTTCACTGACTCAGCCGACCTGATTTCCTCGGGCAGGCTGTTCCAGAGCCTCGGGGCCCTGACAGCAAACTCTCTGTCCCCTTTAGTTTTCAGTCGAGACTCTGGAACAGACAACAGACCTCTCCCCGAGGATCTCAAGGTACGTGCTGGTGCGTATGGGACTAAAAGTTCAGAAATATAATAAGGCGAGAGGCCATGAAGAGCTTTAAAAGTGATCAATAGAATTTTAAAGTCAATTCTAAAACATACTGGGAGCCAGTGTAATGAAGCTAAAATAGGAGTAATGTTTCTTTGTTCTGGTTAAAAGCCTGGCAGCTGAGTTCTGGACAGTCTGGAGTCGATCAGTAGATTTTTGGGTTAAACAGGTGAAAAGGCTGTTGCAATAATCCAGGCGTGATGAGATTAAGGCGTGTAACATGGTCTCGGTGTCCTTAAAAGTTAACATAGACTGAATTTTTGCTATATTTCTAAGTTGATAAAAAACATGATTGAACAAGTTTTGTGGTGTGCTTCTCGAAATTTAAATTACTATCAAACCAAACACCAAGGTTCTTTGCCACAGGCTTAATGTGATTTACTAGGGAACCAGCAGATGGCAGTATTTGATTTGTCTGTGGATCTGACGGGCAAGTATATTTGTGTGTCATCAGCATAAATATGAAAAGAAATGCCATGTTTATGGATAATATGTCCAAGGGGAAGCAGATACAAGGAAAACAAAATGGGTCCTAAGACCGACCCCTGAGGCACACCATATTTAACTGGACAGAATGAGGAGACATAGTTGTTTACAGACACGCAAAACTTCCTATTTGACAGGTTTGAAGACACTACAGCTCATATAAGCTCATATACAGCTCATATACAGTACAACAGTGACGTTACTGAATTTTATTGAATATTAAAATTCCCCCGAAATTATGCAAAACTATATTTCTGCAAACTAACTGTAGGAGATCACTGACATGTGAGGTGATTTTGGAGACACTACAGCTCATTACAGTGAAGTTATTGAATATTAAAATTCTCCAAAATTATGCAAAACAGCATTTCTACATACTAAGTGTTGTAGTATCATCAACATGAGATCACTGATGCCTGGGGTGATATTGGAGACATTACAGCTTATATCAGTGTAATTATTGAATATTAAATATAGGCCAACCTAATATTAGGTATGCAAAATTATTTTCCCCCGGAACTAAGTGTTGTAGTATAGCCATCAGTATATCATGAATGTGTAAGGTGATTTTGGGGGCACTACATTGTATAAGTGGGAAGTTATTGACTATTTCTGCAGTATGTGTTTTCGGTGTTGCAATTTGTAGACGGTCCCTGCGGTCTCATCTCACATCCGTAGAGACCAGTGTTATTTGTGCCGCTCGTCGACGACTCATTTAGATGAAAATGTACTTGTAGCTTGTTGTCTACTTAACTACGATAGTAAAGAGGCGTTGTTTGTGTTTTAAACACGAATCTGTGAATATATTTCCAACTTTACCGAACTCTCCCCCAGAAAGTTTTGAGCATTAAACACTTACTTTTCTGCACCAACCTATGTATAAGGAAACACAAAACTCAATTTGCAGGTAACAATTTAAAATATAAAAATATAACAGAATTTAGTGCAGGAGGCTTATAGAAAGCTTCCAAGCATTCAGTAGCCTACTTCTGTCTTTCTTTCATGATTTAATCTTCCCTCCTGTGTTGTGTCTTTGTTAGGGGAAGTAACCTTTAAATGGAACCTGTTCACATATAAATGAATTAATTTATCATTAAAATTAATTCATTTTCAATCTACAGAACTTATTTCCTGTGCTTCAGCAAGTTTTCTGCTCGTTTAAAACCTTATGCACATTCAAAATCTTTGTCTCTCTGACATTTTGAGAAAATAGTTGTTACACCAAGAAACTAATGTCATCATTTAATGATAATTCATAATATTGAGTTTACCTGCCCTATACTCTGCTGTGATTTGTGGCGTGACAGGATGTGAAAAGTGTCAATTGCATAAGGCTCAAGCTCAGTTGATGGGAGTTTTAGCTCTAAATTTTGCTCTATATTTCTGTAAACGTTTTGTCTTTTTCTACCTGCGGAGTGTCATACATGTTTTTTGAAAGACATGTCACTGGAATATTGTAGCAACACTGACACAGCACTTTTCATTGGTTGCGGACAGAGAGAGAGAGAGAGCAGTCAGAGCTGCATTATTATTATTTTCAAAATGCAGTAATAAAATCCGTCCCCTATCTGTTCAGTGAGGGCCATGTCTTTTAGTTTCTAAATACAGGACGATTCTATATTTTAAGGGATGGTTGGCAACCCTAGTAGTAACTTTAGCCTATTTCATTTGTTAAAATTTCATTATTTTAGTAACACAAAACACATTTGATATAAAATCCTAATTGTTGAAATATATACTAATGCTCATTTCCTTGCGTGTCTGCACCTTTTTTTCTTTCCCATCCCAGTAGTAGCCTGTTCCTTCTGTTCTCTGTCCCTCCAGAGCTCCCACAGCAACATGTCTGGAAGGAGGAGGTTCTGGCTGACCAGCAGCTCTGTATTCAGGAGAGGAACTCCAGTCTGGACCAAGAGGACCTAGAGCTTCCACAGATTAAAGAGGAACAGGAGGAACTCTGTACCAGTCAGGAGGGAGAGCAGCTTGTACTGAAGCAGGAGACTGATACCTTTATGTTGACTCCTACTTATGAGGAAAGAGACCACAGTGAAGCAGAACTGAAAAGTGACCACCAGCTCCTCTCTCACAGCTGTCATGTAGCTGAGAGCCAAGATCAGAAAGGAGGCGAGCATGAAGACTCAGGATCAACTAGAGATGCAGAGCCAGAACAAAAGAATCAAGATCACAAAAGCAGAAGCCACAGAAACAATGTAAACAAGTCTACCATGTCAGAGGTTCACCATAATCCTCACACAGGTAAAAACTCTTTAAAATGTGACACATGTGGAAAGATTGTAAATTAACTCACTATTGCAGACACACCTGAATTCACACAGGGGAGAAGCCATATTCTTGCAGCAGCTGTGGGAAA